CTACCTTTTTCAGCCCGGCGCACGAATGTTCGAGGAGCGTTTGAACTCCGAGGTTCAATTCCTCCGGATCAGACGATTGTATTGGTCGACGATATTTTGACGACCGGATCAACGCTGTCAGAAATTGGACGAACGCTTCGCAGGGCTGGCGTTTCGGATATTCGCGTTGCCGTCGTGGCACGTTCGACTCCCGACTACATTGACGTTTAGGCGGACGTTGCAGGCAATATTCACGAAAATTGAACTGGTTTGACTATTTTCTCCGCGTAGAAAGTATCGAAGCAAGAGGGAGGGGCACCGAAGCTTTTCAGGCGAAGCGGGAAAGTAGGACGCTAAAGATTAGCCCCCAACATGGATGGCCTTCCCTCGACTTGATGACCGTCAATCCAGATCCGAGCCGATAAGGTATCCCTTTTTATGGCCAACGAATTATCGAAGACCGACCAAAAACCGGTCAGCGGATTCTATATGTTCCGTCGAGCAGTCCTCCGCGGATTGGCCATCGCCGCACCTCCACTGCTCACGATTGTGATCTTCATCTGGATCTTCTCAACGATTCAGAACTACATCCTTTCCCCGATCGAATCGACCGCTCGCACGACGATTGCCTGGGCCATTGAAGATGTCCATCGCGATTTTCCCAACGTTGCTCCTGAAGCCACCAGTGCGGTCCACGATTCCGAAATCTACCGAAAAACGGCCAATGGACAGTGGGTGCCCGGCAAAATCTATGAATACGTCTATAACCACCTGGGCGATCAGCCAATGCCGGCATCCGGGTATGGAATTTACGAGCAATACGTTCAACAGCGATGGCTGCAGCGCAAGTTCACGATCCCATTGCTTCTAAGCATCTGTGTTCTTGCTTTGTATTTCACCGGAAAATTTCTTGCAGGCGGTTTGGGCCGTATGCTTTGGAATGCATCCGAACGGCAGATCATGCAACGTCTGCCGATCATCCGAAATGTTTACGGTTCGGTGAAACAGGTCACCGACTTTTTGTTAAATGAACAGGAAATTCAGTTTACCCGTGTCGTTGCTGTGGAATATC